CCCGCCTCGCTGGGTGGTATCGATCCCTCTTACTCTGTGACAATTACCCCCGCCTCACCGGTGTCCTCCGGGGCCGCCGCCTCTTTGGCTTGCTGCTCTTCACCCACCCTGGTCCTTGGCCACATCCTGTTCAGACCTCGCTCTCTGTTGGTCCTGCCCCTCCAGAGGCTTCGAGAAGAGCGGACAGCTTCACGTGGAGGTGCGGGCAGAAGTTGTCCTCGTTCGGCAGGATACTGGCTGCAGTTGGGAGCCATGGGCCGTCGGCTCATCCACGGTCTCTCTGGAGCCGCGGTCTTCCTTGTCAGTGTGGCTCTCCTCTCCATGCGGCACCGTGGGGCTCGGGAAACAGCTCAGTACCCGGGGCTCAGCAAGGGGATGTCGGAGAAGCCGGAGCGACGCAGCAAAGCGACCCAAGAGGGAGGTGATGGCGGGGAGCAGAAGGACCTGCGAGCCCACCCTCCAGAGGGATACAGGGCTGAGGGAAGCCTGGTGCTTGGGGACATTTTCATAGCCGTGAAGACGACCAAAAGATTTCATCAGAGCAGGATGGAGCTGCTCCTGGACACGTGGATATCCCGGGCCAGAGAGCAGGTGAGCGTGTGGATATGGACTAGAGAGGGGCTGTTTGGTGACGGAGCAGGAACGGAGTGTTGGTGGGGAGGGATAAAGGCCGAAGGAAGGGGAGGCTGGGCACTGCAGTCCCACCCAGCACTTTGCCTCATTTTCCCCAATTCTCACTTCTGTTGGCATTGAAAGGGGGGATGCTGCCCAGCAAAATGTTTCTCTGGTAGCTGGTTCCTGGGAAAGGCTGGCAGAGAGGATGAAGAGCTTGCATGGGCTCTTCCCATGAAGGCTGGGAGGATGAGGGCTCTTAGCAAGCATCACCTGCCTCTAACCTAAACCTGAATCTTTCAGCTTGATTTGGAGGGGATTTAATTTCCTTTTCTTTATCCAGTAACACCAGGGGCCTCGGACGGCCTGGACCACACCAGACTGAGAGCACAGACCGTCCTGGGTCTGTGTGAAATGGTGGTTTTCTGCCTGCTAGAGCCATGAGCTTGCTAGGTTTTGAGCTGAGTGGCTGCCCATGGCCCTCCATCAGGATGCCCGCATTGCGCCTGGGCACCCTTCACCCTGGGACGGTGTGGTGCGGCGGGCAGGAGAGCGAGGCAGGAGGACCTGGAGGACCTCCTGGAGAGCAGGAGGGGTGTTTCCTGCCCTGTTCCTGGCACATCATGCCTTGCTTTCTTGGGCAGAGGCGCTCACACGCACCGCCTTAAAGAGATGTGGGTGCATATTTGATTTTTTAAATATTTTTTTTAACGGAGGGTCTGATGTTTTCACCCGTTGCTAAAGCAGAGTTTGGAGAGTTTCCTTCCTGTTAGAGGAACTGAAGTGGGGCACCACATTGGTGGTGCTTACTGGTGTGCAGAAGTACTCCTGAGAGCCCACGTACTTCTCTCCCTCCCTTGCAGAGCTGCTTCTCAAGAGAGAAGAAATCCTGTGGCTGCACCCAAAGGTGGTTTTATTTTGCCTCTGCCTGTATGTGACAAGTGCCTAGAAGACAAAGTCAGGCCTCAGTGAGGAAGGGGGACGGGGGCGGAGGTATTGGGTAGGAGAGCGCTTGAAGCTATGCAGGGTTTTCTGGGTAAGGGTGGTTTTCCACTTCATGGTGCTGCAACTGTCTGGTCCGCTGCGGTCGTCACAGGAAGCCATGTCCTATTTCGAGCACGCTTCCTCTCCTGTCTACGCGTCCCTCTCAGCGTCTGAGATGCCCTGCTTCCTCCTCCTCCCGGTGCACTTCTCCTCTCCGCCCGACCTCAGCCCAGCAGATCTCTGGAGAAACAAAACCCAACGGCGTGGCTGCACTGGCGTGAAGATACTGTGGCTGGGGCTTTGGGAGTGGGTTTGGAAGGAGCAGCTCGCCTTTCCCTCCTCGTGCATTTGACAGACAGCTGCCTGGACGTTCCGCTGATGACAGGAATTAGATACTAGCTCCCTAGGCTCATCTGACCCTCTCTTTTTGGCAGACAAAAACGATGTCCAAACCTGGGAAGAGGTGTTGAATTTTCCGTGCTGCTGCTGCCAGCCTCTAGGAAAGCTTCACAGACTGAGCTGGAGAATAGGAAGGATGGGTAGAACAGGAGCGTCAGTCAATTTTAAACAGTGTTTTTTCATTGTTATCCATTTTTATTGCAAGCTCAGTGTTTTCCTCCCCCCTCCTCAATTTTCCATGTTTTTCTTCTGCTTTTTTTACTAAATGGCCTTGAGGGCAGGGGAGTGGGGGTGGGAAGGGAGGTGAAGAGAAATACATGAATGTCAAAAACCTTTTTTTTTTTTTTCCCATGTGTCCTGCTGCTGGAGGGGTTGTTTGGAGGTAGAGGAGAGGGTTGGCTTTGAAAAATTGATAACATAGAAACCTTGCTTAGCAAAAAACCAGAGCGCTCTCAATTTGCAAAGGACATGGACATTTAATTGTTGTGGGGCCATGGATAGGGCACCAGACCTCCTATTATTGAGTCTTTATGGAGAGGCACAGACTTTCAGAGCCAGTCCCGGAGAGGTCCAGGTCTCAGAAGCCCTGAGGAGTGCCGCCTCCTAGGGCTGGCCCACCGCCTTGCCGTCTCACTTGCCCTTGCTCATGGCTGCAGACCGATTCAGTGGGTCCTTCTCTGCAGAGGGATGGTGGGGAAATTTTAGCAACTGGCTGTGCTGTTGATGCCAAGCCTGGTTTTGGAGCTGATTATCTGCGTGGTGTCCTCCCGGAGGAAGCAACCCAGACCTCAGAGGCCAGGCTTAGGTGACTGTAACAGGAGGCAGGAACAGCTGGGGTTTTTCTGGCTAGGAGAGACTGTACAGGAGCCAAAGTAAAAGTCCTCTGTGTTGGACTCTGTCAGGGTAGACAATAAGAGAGACAGATTTTCCCTGAAACTGCACTGTTTAAAGAGAAGTGGAGATATGCAGCTGGTGGAAGACAGGGAAGTGTGGGGTGGGTGATTTTCACTGGAATTTGGACCATGCTCTGCCTCTGGAGAACTGATCCATGACAAACTTTCCACTGGAGCTTGATGTGGAAGTCATTTCAGTGACCTTTGCCTCAGAAAAAAGCTTAATCTAAATAGAAGTGTGCATTTTGATGACTGTTTAGTCTGGACAGCATCTTGGAGTGCCTGACATTTTTGGTCCCAGTAGTTCTGGTGGAGATAAGTCTAGGTTTCTGGCTTGAAATTTTGTTCGGTACCGTAAACTAATTCAAACACCTCCTCTCCTTTCAGAAACCCAAAGATCCAACTGATTGAAATGAAATCTTTAAATGACCCATCCTGAACTGGCTTTCACATTTTTCAGTGTTGTGAACACATCATAGGTTTTGACTCTCTTCTCCGGGCAGGGGAGCAGCTTCCTGCCCAGCCGCATCAATAACCCATAATCAATTTTGGAGGGATACCCTGGGAAACTGGGATATGAATGTGGTCATGGCTTGTCAGGTTCCACATCTTTATTTCCTTTTCTTATTTTTTCCTTGCTAGGCTACTTTTCCAGTTTGGGGTGAGGGGGCCTCAACGCCTAGTGTTTGTCCATCTCATGGGCACTTATGTTTATGGAGAACGACAAAAAGCCTAGAATGGAGGGATGCCTTCTGTGCTGCATCCCTCCTCAAGCTCAGATCAGCTGCCCTGCAGCAGCAGTGACAGCCACCCTGGGCTGCTCTCAGTGCGGATGGGAGCTGGGATGATTTCCTCACACCCCTGGCAGGAGGAACCATGCTGGGGGTGACATGGTGCAGGAGGTAAGCGGGAAGCTATGACTGAACAGCTGCTCCCTGAGCCTACAGGCTGCCTGCTGGAGTGGGCAGCCCGTGAGCATTGAGGCACCATGACAGGAGATCCTGCATGGCCCCATAGATGGTCTGGTGGAGAACAGGAGGGGGGATAGGCTGGGGAAGCTGCTTCTGCCCACCCAACTTGCCTGAAGGGACACAAATGACACTGAGTATTCCTCTGCTTGCACATCCTCAGTGGGGACAGTAGGTCTGGTGTGGCCAGAGACACCTGAATGTCTTCTAGGCTCCATTAATATGGACAACAGCAGCTGGTGTCTTCTTGAGAAAGACCTGTGTAATGGGCCAATTCTTTCCAGGCAGGTTTTTATCTGGGGCCCTCCTGCTCTCTCGCATCCCAGCCACCATGTGTGGCTTTCCTGAGGGACACACGGCAGCAGTCGTTCAGATTCCAGCAGCAGCTGCTGTTCCAGATTTTCCCGCTCTCAGAGGCATGAGGGATGGAGAGATGAGGATGCAGGCAGCTGCCTGTGCTGTTGTGATCTCCTTCAGGACAGGGCCAGGGCACACACACCAGCACTCTGGACTACTGCAGCCAGGTGTACCACGGAGATCAGAGTTTGGGAGAGCCGGAGAAATGAGGTTTGCCTAGCCTCCACACCCACAGCCCCTTTTTCCAGTTCTTTTGGAGAGCCTGGTGCTTCCCGTGGTGACGATGCTCCCCCATCTCTGGGTTCACACAGAAAGATGTCAGGTGTCTGTGAAAAAGCGTTTCCCGTGTTGCATCAAGAGGAAAGTGGGAGCCTCGGAATATTTTCGCAAGTAGAAAATCTCTGTAAAGATACAGATTCACGTTTTAAGTCAGTCAGATACAATGTTTATTCACTGATTTTATATCCATAAACAAGTCATTTCCAGCAACAGTTCTGTTTTTTTGAAAATGTCAGAAAGTTTCGACGGTTTCAGAACTTTTTTCTTAAGATGAAATGTTTATCATAGTGGAAATTTCTGGCTCTGACATGCTAGCAAGGGAAATCCCGTGCCACTGACAGTCTCTGCCTTGCCTGACGGTTGTGGTAACGGTCCCCTGACCCAGAGTGACTCCTGTACCTGAGAGTTAGCTAATTGCTTCTTGTCCCGTGGTCACCTTGAAAGTGTTTTTTACCAAGATCCTTCACCAGTGGGGTGGGGTAGGAATGAGCGCGCGGCGCGTTGCGGCAGCTCAGCTGTGGGAGGGTAATTCGCCAAGTCGCTGTAGCACGTACATTTGGGATCATGAAACCATCCCGCTGGCTCTGCTCGAGCCGGGTGGTCTCTGAGGGTCCTTCATTGCCTTGCTTTCGTGTGCAGAGCATTTCTCTTGCCACCTCCTCCTGAGGGAGGCACGTCTCCCAGCCTGAATGCTGGGTAGGAGATGTAGAGACTCCTCGTCAAAGCCTTTGGGAGCAGTGACGGCTCCTGGAGCTGTTGTCTGCCTGCCTTGTCCCCTTTGTCCCTGCCCAGGTGCTGCATTTAACCAGCCTGTGGGCAGCTGGTGGAGAGACTGTTTACGGCTCGTGACTCCTTTTTGATTTTGTGAAAGCTCATTTTCTGCCTGAGGAAAGCTTTTCTCCGCCAGCCCTGATCCCCGCCTGGCCCTGAAGAGGGGGAGATGTGCCACATAATGGCGGCGAGGGGGATTAGAGAGGCCTGGGGTGGAGGAAGAGGAGGAGGGGGCGGGAAGCAGCGGGAGGCTGAGCACACAACACACGAACAGATGTTCTTTTAACTGGAGCATCATTTAACCACGGTGCTTTCGCTTTTCTGCCGCCGACACCTCAGCCAGGGCTCCCTCACCCCCTCGCTTGGTGTCGCGGGTCCCCTTCTCCCCCATTCCTAAGGCGGCGGGGCGGAGAAATGAAGCCAGACGAGTGCTGACAATGGTGCGAAGGGGGAGCGTGGTGTCCCTCTGATCATCGGGTGTCTGGCAGCGGGGCACGGCTGCAGGGGATGGAGCGGGATGACCACAGCGAGCGAGTCAGGCTGCGGGGAGGAAGGGGTGGGTGGACAGGAGCAGGGCCAGCTCCAGCCCTGAGAATAACCTCCATTCCTCACTTCCCCAGACCTACGTGTTCACCGATGAAGAAGACGATGCCCTGAAAAGGAGAATGGGTAATGACCTGTCCTATAACACCACCTTCCCCTCCCTGCCTTCAGCCTCTGAACTGTCATGGCCTTGGGAGGGGATCTGGCACCCATGAAGCCCTCAGGTGACGATTTGTTTCAGTTGGCTTCACAGAATCACAGAATGTTAGGGATTGGAAGGGACCTCTGTGGGTCATCTAGTCCAACCCTCCTGCCAAAGCAGGGTCACCTAGAGCAGGCTGCAGAGGACCTTGTCCAGGCGGGTCTT